GAAAGCATAATTACACCTTTGTATTTGAAAGACTGTTCTCCCAAGCCTATTAATAGCAGGCTGCCATCTTTCCACACCTTTTTACATAACGTGCTGCAGTACCTGCTCGACTCACCTTCCCAAGCAATCACACCGCGCTGTGCACTGTAGCATCAGCAAGCTGTTTTTCCTCTCTTCGTAGTCTCCGAAAAACACACTAGTGTTTTACGATGATTAATTATGGAAATGACATCATTCTCTTGGAGAAATGCTGAGTACTATGAGAAGGGCTGAGTACAGGGGGGTGGAAAGTATAAGTTCCACGTACACACGAGGGTGAACAAGAAGAAGCAAGGTATAGACCATATTTGTGTTCCTGACCTGAAGATCTGAGATCTGCTCTCTCCATACGTATGCATGCATGTGGTCCAAGCAGGCCCAGAGGCAAAGGGACTTATGAGAGAGTCATCTCTTGGTTCCCCTTTTTCCATCCCTATGCATTTCAGACAAAACCAGACGTCCCTTCAGGTGACAGTGGTCCTTCCTGAGCACTGACCATACCGTAGGTCCTTGGGGTGGTGAAGCTCTGCTCTCCATGTTCTTTACTGCGACTTGCTGCCCCTGTACCTACAGTGGCTCTTTCTCCATCCCGAAAGAGGAAAAGAAAGGATGCAGCACAGCGGGAAGAGGACAGAGGGAGGACCAACCTCCCTGGGCTGCAGAAGGCACAACCTCAGCTTTGTTGATATTTGCCACCATCCTGCAGTATCACTTCTTTTGCTACACGAAAAACTACGTGCAGATGTGTCCTGTAGGGTCATGTACCCACAAACAGGCTACAAACCGAGAGGCACTACAAATGTTTTAGTGCTCGCCATCCTAACCAAAGCCCAGAGAAAAAGAAAAGCAAGCAGAAAGGTTTTCCCCTGTTTGTTCCACGGGTCTCGTTCCAGTTGAATGATGTGGGGCAGGGAGAAGTCAGCATAGTGTCACCTTACAGATTTTTCCTGTTACACAAAATAAGAGGATTTTTCTTTCCTTTTGGAGGAAAATTTATGCTTCTTTTGAATGCCTTTACCTATAAACTGATGCGCCTATGGCTGATTTGTCTTGGCAACACATAGATTTGAAACCGTAATCGTATTTGCCTTGGTAATACGATTACTTGTTGGAGCACCAAAATGCAATCCATTGTTGTCTGAAAAATTAGTAAAAATAAAGTTACCTAGATTTCAATTTTTTTTCTTTCTTATCCCACCAATATTATACAGATAAATCCCTGTTTTTGCGAAGATTCATTTACAAGTGTAACTTCATACCCTGGCCAAGTAATTTCATACATATGTAAATGCATACTTTGGGCTTTGCAGGATCCTGGGTCAGAAAGCACATACCTTCTTTTGCCATCCAAGATGAGCAGAGAAAAACACATTTCAATGGTGGGGAGTGAATCTTTTTGTCCCCTCAGACTTGAACTTCATAAAATTACTAGCCTAATTTGTAGTAACATGAAAGAAAATACAACTGCTTGCTAAGAATGTGTTGTTTACGTTCATATATAGGCTGACAGGGCTTTTATGAGAAACAAAACAACAACAAAAAACCACTTTGTACAGAAAGGAAACTAGCCTTTGCTGAACTTTCCATTCACTTCTGAATTTTCCACAACAGAAAACCTTCCTGAGGCAAAAAACTTTGAAATGTGGCAGTGCTAAGAGCAATGTTGACTCTGAAACACATCATTAGAACAGAAAATATATTTAACATTCATGACAGGAAGGCAGTTCCTATGCACATAACACAGTAGCCACTGTAAAGGAACCTCACAGTCTCTTCAATATATCCTCTCCTACATCTGCATATTGCAGCCTGAAAAGCAAACCTGAAGACATGTGCCGGAGAGATTCCTCAAAGCCTCCCACTGGCACATCATGTTTTCTCCAAACAGCAGTGAATTTCTCCTCTCCTAACCGATTTGCTGAGTTCTTTACCCTTCCTCTTGCGGCAAATAAAACTTCTGCTAAGCCCCTCTCACAAAATCAAACACCATTCCTTTATTTTTTCAGCATGCTATTCACAAACTGCCAAATAATGTAATTTCTAGCAGTCGTGCTTCTTACAGCAAAGCTGGCACGGGGGTTTTCAGCCAGGTTATCAAAGCAGCCAGCACCTGCTGCGTCGCCCAGCAGGGTATCTCGAGGCAGCCCCAGCGCTCCCATTTCCCATACTTATCATGGGGTAAGTTTGTGTCTACCGAGGTTTCAATGTCCAAAAGTTCCAAAAAGTAAAACCAAACTTCTGCATTTTCAGGCTAAATTAGGCAGATGAGCCTTTGTGTTTAGTCCAGAACTTGCCTGAGAGACTACGGACAGCTGAAGTAAGGAAAAATAAATAAATAAAGGTTTGCTTCTGAATCACCATTCGTGCTTCTCATCTTTACCTCACATCAAACTCTCCACAGAGCCTCCATCCAGCCCACCTGGCATTTACTGCTTTGAAACTCAGGAGCCATAGAATCAGTATTACACGAGATTTCTCTTTTTCCTTTCATACAGAATATTTGGATTCTTATATTTGTATTTTAGCTGTTTTCAACTGCTCCAAACTAAGCTATGTCCTTCCCCAGAATAATTCTCAAAGTCATAATAATTACAGACTAAAGCATACTTCCTATCCGAAAGCTGTCAACAAGCTAGGATCCGTCATTATCCTATCTATCTACCATCAAACCATGTTCTTAGTGATGGTCTGGAGGGCTGCTGAGTCACATGGATGCTCCTGATTTTCACCACACAGGGATGCCTGCAGAAATACTGCGTGGCAGAGCGCCGTGTAGCTCGCCCATGACCAGAATGGCCAGCCTGCCTGCCTGCACAGGAGCTTTGCGGGTGATTGATCTGGCTTTAACACCATCTCACTTCCAAACTTGTCAAGTTCTGAGACTTGTGCACAGGCAGCTCTGTCTTAGCATGCGTCTGTCTATAAAGATGTCTAATTAATTCCCTCGCAGTCGTGTACACCACGTTCTGTCCCAGCTCCTCTTCAGAACTGACAGCAAAGGGTTTTTTTTTTCCCCTTGTCTGATGAATATTATCTTTCTTACTGGCGAAAGATGCCTGCTTAGTATTATAATAAAACCTGAAATACGCCAGAGCAAACAGAGCCTGCAGGCTGTGTGCACGGGGACAGCAAGTCCTCTCCTGGGGGTCAGCCCTCCAGGAGCTGCATCAAACACTTCGGCGAGGACAAAAGCAGCAGGATACCAATGCCACCACCAAAACAGCCCTTATTATAGAGTCTTAATCCTGTTCTTGAACACTCTTTCTTTAGGGTGGCATGGGATGGCCATTTAGGTTTCTGAAATGATGACAGGAGTCACCAAAGCATCCCCTCCTTTAGAGGCGGCAATGGTTAGCGGTATACAAGGTCACACACCTAAGAAAAGCCTTAGTTCAGCTGTGTGCACTTTCCATTCACTTCTCAGACCATTAAATTGCTGTTTTCATGCTGTTCTTGTATACCTAATTCCAAAACTCCAGCTGCCTGAAGGGCTTTGGGCTCAGTGAATAACCAAGTCTCGGTCACACACAAAAGGTCCGATGCGTTTCCAGCAGCTCCCTAAGCAAGCTCCCGAGGCTGGCACGACCCCGAAGGGTGGACAGTGCCCTCGGCTTGTTGTTCTGCTCCTCTTTCAGGGCTCTGCCCGTCACACACTTGTTTCCAAGAGGCTCTTCTTTTGCCCCCGAGGATGCGCGGTGATCCTGGGGGCTTCCTGCAGCTCCAACATCTTCTGCTCGCACCTTGTGAGCCCCACAAAGGCTGGGCAAGTCTACAGATCCAGCATCCCCCCTCCCTGCATCTCTCTGGATGAGGAACAATCAGGCCAAAACCCGGCTATTTAAAACAGGCAAACGCTTTCATATTTTCAATAACAGCCTGAGTACTTACACAACAAAACACCGGGGCAGCGAATGGAGACCTGGAGGAGGAAATTGCCTCCCCTCTGCATTGTCAAAACTGAATGAGATGGAAGGTGAAAGGCGCGGAGACTTTCTAATGGGTAGAAACAAATTGAATCTTTACGAGCTTTAATAATCACAGATTAATTCCAGAATTAGTCAGGAAGTGAGGTTTGTTCTGTAGGTCAATAAATTCTGATGATAAATCCATCTGAGCCACAGTAGCTTAAACATCCTTTTGACTAGATCCCCCCTCCCAGCAATTACTCAGCAAATACTCACTGATTTGTGTCCTTAGCAAAAGCATGCTTGCTTCTTACAACCTGAGCCACTGGAAAAAGTCGTGTATGGGAAAGGAAACTTCACGTATGGAAATAATGGTGTTTCTTGTAAAGAAAACTACGGCAAGAAGAATTGCAGACGTATATAAAAAACAAGCATGTGGACGGGATCATTACCTAACCTGCAGACTCTGGAATGACTTTAAATGGGTGTTGCTGAAACCTTGTTCCACAGAGGTCCTGCCTGGTTCAGACGAAGCCATTAAAACGAATTATGAATTTGGCACGAAGGAAAGCCATGCCACGGTCTGGCCCTAGTCTCCAGCAGCATCCTCAGCCGCCCATTCACCACGTAACCGAGACAAACTTCTTCAGCACCAGACCAAAGCCTTCAGCATCAACACGCCAACTACTGACCAAGCGCTTTTTCCCCCCCGTTTACGTGTAATTACACCCGAGCCTCCAAACACGGCCTTTTTTTTGAATCCCGACCACATTAATGATAACCCCTGTTAAACATAAACCAGCGCGCAACTACACACACACTAAAAATATATATAAATAAATAAAAAGCCAGGAAACTCTGATTGTACGTTCACGATGGCTTCTGCAAACGCACCCAGGAGCTAACAAAACCCTTGATTCCCCTCTCAGCTCCCCATCCTCCTCCAGGTGAGGAGGAGAAGCCTGTCCCGGGTGCCTCCCAGCCGCAATTAGACGTGATGCGGGGGGACCCCAGCATCTCCCCCAGACCCCAGCACGGCCCCGTCCCGTCCCTTACCGGGAGCGCTGCAGCTCGAAGGCGGCGGCGGGGCCGGGCTGCCCCAGCTCGCAGCCCCCTCCTCCTCCTCCTCCTCCTCCTCCTCCCTGGGGGCTGTGGCGGCCGAAGGGCACGGGCAGCACCCCGGCCGTGAAGGAGTTGAGGCGGCCGCGGCTCCCCCCCGCCGCCGCCGCGGCGCCCAGGAAGGCGGCAGCCGGCACCTGCACGGCGGCGAAGGCGTCCTCCTCCTCCTCCTCCTCTTCCTCCTCCTGCTGCTGCTGCTGCTCCTCGTCCTCCCCGCCGCCGCCTTCCTCCTCCTCCTCCTCCTCCTCCTCCGCCCCGCCGCGGGGCCGGGGGGGCTCAGCGGGCGCGGCCGGGGGGCTGCCCAGCCGCGGGGGGGGCTGCGGCGGAGCCTGGCGGAGCCTGGCGGCGGGGCCGTCGGCCGGAGGGGGCGGCGGGGGCCGCCCGTCCAGGGAGATGCTGGTGAGGAAGGACAGCGCGGCCTGCCTGCGCCGGGGGTCGCTGCGCGGCGGCACCGCCGCCAGCCCCGCTCCCGGTGCTGGTCCCGCTGCCGGTGCCGGTGCCGTCCCCGCTGGCAGCGGCCCCTTCCTGGGGCAGGGCTCCGGCGGCGGGGCTGGCAGGGCTCCGGCGGGGCTGCCGGGGCTGGCGGCGGCCGCCGCCATGGCGTGGGGCTGTGCCGGCCGCCCGCCTCCCTGCCCTGCCCTGCCCTGCCCCGCCGCACGGAGCTCGGCTCGCCTCGGCTCGGCTGGGTGCCGCTGGCGGTGCCGCTGGCGGTGCCGGGCTCGCCGCTAGGGCAGCGGGCGGGCGGCGGGGCGAGGCTGCCGGCGGGCCGGCGGCGGGGCCGCCCCCGAGGGCCGCATGGGGCTGCCGCGGCTCTCACGTGCGGAGCGGGGAGCCCAGCACAACAAAAGCCCGGCCAGCAGCCCGCAGGAGGAGGAGGAGGGAGGAGGGTGGGTCTCGGCGAGCTCCCTCCTTTCAACCTCTCTCTCTGCTGCTTGCTTTTTTTTTTTTTTTTTTCTTTCCCCCTTCCCTCCTCCTCCTCCTCCTCTTCTTCCCTTCCTGGATGCGTGGGGGCGGGCGGGAGCAGGGGAAGGTGGAGTCTGTGCCCGCATGGCCCGCCGCCTGCCGCCGCCCTGTCCCCTCCGGCAGCACCCCGGCCGGGCTGCTGGCGGCTCGGGAAGCACCTCACAAGCCCTTCGAGCCGTTAAAGGACCATTAAAACACCTCACTAGCCCCCCAAACCTTTAAAACACCTCACAAGCTCCTCAAGCCATTAAAGCACCATCAAAACACCTCACTAGCCCCCCAAACCTTTAAGTCCCAAACCTTTAAAGTGCCATTAAAACACCTCACTATCCCCCCCAAACCTTTAAAACACCTCAGAAGCCCCTCAAGCCATTAAAGCACCCTTAAAACACCTCACTATCCCCCCAAGCCATTAAAGCAGCATTAAAACTCCTCACAAGCCCCCCAAGCCCCCTTCCCTCACCGCCTTCTCCCCAAGCCTTCGCGCTGCCCTGCCCGGGGGCAGTGTGGTTACTCAGGGTGCCCTCTCGCCCCCAGCCCCGCTGGCCCGAGGCCAGTCCCACGGCAGCACGAGGCGCCTTTGGTTTCTTCATCGCTTCACTCGCTCGGCTCAGCCTTGCTACAAGTGTTTTCGTCCCTACGTAAGGGCTGGGTAACGCAAACCCCAGCACACACGGTGCTTGTGAGGTATCGGCGTGCACCTCCTCCAGTGACATGTATTATTATATCCCCGTTACAGTGTGCTGGTACAGCCCTCTCAGACTGTCACAGAGCAAGCAGTGCCCCCTGTGATTTCATCAAAAGTTTGCTGATTTGAGCAACAAAGCTGGGTGTTTGGTCACAGAGGGAAACCTAACGCTGTTAGTTTTGAAGAAGCTACGGACCCAGGTTTGCCTTCCTCGCAGAACTGACCTTGTGAGCATTCAATGACTTTACAATCAAGCTCTGTGACTCGGATTGATTCGTGAAAGCTTGGCCTTTACTCACCCTGAGTGCCACAAAGCCCTGCCTCTGAGGCCCCGATGTCCCTGGGGTGGGCTCTGCAGGCTCCTGATGCTATAAGGATGCTGTGCAGGCAGCATGGATGGGAAATGCTGGGGGAAAGGGAGTGCTTCCCAACCCCCAGCTCCTCCTAGATCCAAGGGCTATTTTGAGGTGGGCATCCCCACTTCAGGCTGCTCTCTTGAGGCTTCAGCTGGTGCTGTCTTCCCTAACAGATGGCACCGGTGTGCTCGTCCCTGTGGCGCATCGGGGCCAGATGGTTTGGTTGGGAAGCGGGTGGGCCTGAGTGCCGGCCTCACCTCCCGTGGAGAAGCTCAGGGGCCTTTCGAGACGGCTCCACTTTTAAAAGAATTCAGGACTCTTTTGGGGAGGACTCCTGGGCCACACACAGGGAAGTGCCACAGCTCCGTAGCCTGACAGTCAGCATGTTCCCTGGGTGCTGACCTCTGGTCCGAGGACTACTTCTGTGCTGTAGGTCCTGAAACTCACGCCTTCCACATTACAGCTGTGTGAGGCATACACTCATTTTTTACCTCTTGCATTTCTGGCAGGAAGCAGCCACAGTGCGTTTTTTTTTCCCCCAGAGCTCAAAATCTTGCTATGGCAACTGAGTTCTGGAGCGTATTTTCCAAATCCAGCCTCTACCAGGAGATAAGCATGGTAAAAGAGAACCACCACCACAATGACGGGTGCAGGTCCCAGAGGTTGGTCTAACCTGGGGCAATTTTGATGTGTGCCGAAGTGTGAGCTCCTTTCACAAAATCCCCCTTGTGGTGGGATAAATGTGAGCATTATTTTGCTTTGGAGGCATGACCTCTGCTCCAGAACACCTCTGAAGCTGTTCAAAATAAACTTGGGCACCTGATACACTGTGTACAATTGGGAACACTCATGTGGATGGTTGAGTTTATCGAACCTCCTTACCTCAAAGTTAGAGGGGCTGGGATAAATTGTAGGTTTTTTAAATTGTAGGTCTTTGCTAAGGTGGGGCATTCAGCTGAGGTCACCAGGTTCTTGTCACCTCGTGCAGCCTTTGCAGAGCACATATCTGTCTGCCCATCAGCCTCACTTCCTCAGGGGACCTCAACAAATGCCCCTGTGGGCACTGTGTGGGTATGGACTGTCTTTTCCAACAGTGCTGCTGACGATGGGTTAAAACATCCCTTCCACTGTGCACGAGAATAAATCCATTTGAGAAAGCAACATACAACAAGGAAAACACGACTTTTTCAGTCTAAAGCGAAGCTATTTTTGTTAATGAGTGGGGCACCACAGTACAGAGATAATTGGCATGTTAGAAATACCAGGTTCTCTAGACCTATTTATATGTTTAGTAGAGAGTTTAAATGAATACATACAACCTAAGGTGAATGGTGTTTTTTTTTTTTTTCCCCAGTTACTTACATCCTTTTGATCTGTGCTTAGCAGAGCTGTAGATGATTGCACGGGCTATAGGAGTCTTGTTTGCCGGAGGTTATGTGGAAATGTTAAACAAATTGACTTTGCTGGTTCAAACTTTTTTTCTTTGATGGGGAACCGGTGGTTGACTAGAGGAAATAGCAAACTTGAAAGGAAAACCAAAAAGACATATTCTGGAAACTTGCTCCTGTGACTGGTTTTTAAATCATTTTCCTCTCCAGTTTCTCTTCCAACCAACCATCTCTCCCCAAGTGCAAGCAAATGTTTTTATTTCAGAGGTCACAGGCTTATGCAAGTGGTTGGATGACAAGTGGTAATAGGAGTGGAAGAGCGTGATAACTTTTTTTACCCCATGCACAAAATGCTGGAAGAGGGAGAGACTCATGAGCTGTGGGTGTTCAGAGACAACGAGGAACCGGGGGAGCCAGTTGACACAGGTGAGTGGAGAGGCCAGGTTTAAAGATTTTGAGGAGGGTAGAGGGAGTTTGGACAAAAAAAGAAAAAAAAAACAAAAACAAAAACAACAACAACAAAAAAATGAAAGCTCAGCAATTTACCACTCTGGGAAACAAGACTTTAGAAGTGGTGCCTCTGCCTTTGCAGGAAAGTGAATCCAAGTGTGGGAGCCTTATGTTTTCTTGGTGTCAAGTCTGAAAGGCCACAGATGCTTGAGCTGAAGCTGTGCGCCTGCATGGCTTGCCACCTCAAGTTAAAAAAACATATTTGCAGGTGCATTGAAATCTTCGCCTGGAACTTGAGTTAGAGACAAGATTTGTACTACCCTGAGAGTTAACTCTGCAGGAATAACCGGTCCTGAGTCACCAACGTGAGTCACCCGGCCAGCGCTCGAGTGTCCTCAGCGCAGTGTTTGTGTGCTTGGGCGATAAAAACAAGTTTCTTATTGTCCCTGACACTTGTTAGAGCTGCAGGAGGAAGGCAGCTAGTGGAAGGAAAAGCAAATGCGATTCTCCCTTGCAGTTTTGACAGCGTTGTTTTCTGACTGTCAGGATCAGTCTGGTAATGTTGTTACACGCAAAGCTCAGCAGAGAAGTCATCTGAAGGTGGTACTGCGTCACTTCTCTAGTTGCAAACAGAAGTGATAGTTACCTATGGTCATGGATCCCACTGCGGGATCTCAGCAGCTGGGCAGATTCCTGTAGCCTGTGAGCACACTCGCTGTGCAAGACTTCGGAGAAACAATAAATCAGCGATCTTATAAACGATTTGGCTTTTTTTAGTTCCTCCCCAAAGTCCCTTTTTGGAATACAATTGCACTTCAATAGAAGAAAGAAGTTGTAACATTGAAGAAGGACTTGGAATATGAATTTAATAATCCTTCTGCTTAGAAGGAGCGTCTGGCAGAAGTAAAATAGAGGGAATTTAAACACACTTCACTGAAAACCATAGTTAAGAATGGAAATTGGATAAAGACAGTACAAATTCTTTACAAAAGACTAATACTCCATCTGGATAGTGAGTCCTGTTTCGGTGCCAGGCCCTAACCTTAAGTCTGTTGTAAATTTAGCCTGATTCTCAGAAAAGCTAAGTACTTGCTTCCCACTGGTAATTTTTCAGGAGCCGGAGTGTTTTATTTTTTGAAGGCTGCCCTTGCTAATTGGATATAAAAGCCTGACACTAACATGCTTGTTGCCTTGTTTAAAAAACAGAGCTCCCTGGATATGCAGAGACCCACGCTTGTCTCTTCACCAGGAACCTAACTTTGTTTTCTTGCATTGTTCGAGGGTGTGTGCCAACGTTAGCCAGTTAATGTAAACTGAATTCTTATATGGCAGTGGTAAAGAGGGAGAGATTTGGGGTCGCCTAGCATTAGGGTTGGAGCAGTGTGGGCAAGATCCTGTGTATAACCGGCAAGAAGCACAGAAGCAGATGCCCTTGGCAAAGATGAACCGGTGCCTCCACAGCTCAGCTGACATGTGGATATAAAGGTCACCAAATTAACCTGCTAATTATTTAAGATGTCAGAGGTGTGGCATGCGTGGTGTTTGTGTGCATGTTGCACCGCCTTGAAAGACTCCCGAGGTCTTTGGTAGGCTAGCGGTACACGTGTGGGCGGTAGGGCCAATTTGGTAGATGTTTGTCTCTTAGAGAAATTAGGGCACTCTAGTTAAGTGGTCAAAACTGGAATATATAGCATTATTCCAACTTAAAGTCCCCTTAGGTGGGGCTGGTGGAAACAGCTTTTTAAGAAGACTACTTAACATTTGCTATTGTAACACCTTGGCATTTTCCGTGCTAGATCCTCTTCAGGCCAAACATTTTTTATTTTTTTTTCAGGAAATTTCGGTCAAAATGGTTATGCCAGCTCCAAGAGCAGGAACAAGAAAAACACATTGCTTCGCCCACATTAGAAATTCGTTTGACCTTTGAAATACCCGAGCATTCCTGCACTGAAACAAGAATTTAGGAGGTGGGCTTCTGTCTCTGAGGTGGGGCTGGGGAAGAAGGAGGGAGTGCCCTTCCTGTCAAAATCCACCCACCTG